GTTTAGAGATGACGACATATTGATATATATTGTTGATAGAGAGAGAGAGATAAGAGAACGATGTTGACTGCATTTTTTGATAGAAATAGAACAAAGTTGAGTGCGAGATAATATTTGTACAAATATTTTCCAAAACACTACACRTGGAATTGGAACACACGTTGATGGAATATCTGGCAAAGAGGATCAATGAAAGGCCAACTTGTGTCTACAAATCCAGCTGAAGGAGAACGGTTCTACCTACGCCTACTTTTGTCTCATATTACTGGGCCTACTTGCTTTATAGATCTATATAGTTTCAACATCTTATTGCACCCTACATTTCGAAAAGCATATATTGAGATAGGGATAATAGAGAACAATGACAACTTATCCCATTGTCTTGAAGAGGCCTCCTTATTTCAATTTCCGGTTGCTCTTAGGAGGTTATTTGCCACGATGTTGATTTATTGTGAGCCATTAGATGTTCGCAAGTTATGGGATGACCACTATGATTCACTTTCTGAAGATTATACACGACAATGTGAAAGTGCTAGTCGAGTCCGTAATATGGTTTGAACTGATATTCTTATTTTTCTACAATCTAAGGATAAAAGTCTTGATGATTTCGATCTTCCAATTGTAGATGCAAATGCCAATTTTCAATTTGGAGAATTTCGTGAGGTACAAGAGGAAGGCTCTATAGTTGTGGAAGAGGAACACTTGCATGCCCGAGACTCTCTCAATTCCGAYCAGAAATATGCATATGATGAGATCATGAGGCATGTAGACGACGATTGTCCAGGAGTGTTCTTTATAGATGGTCGGGGTGGAACCGRGATGACATTTTTTGTACAAAGCTTTGCTTGCCAACATCAGTTCACGTGGTCTTATTGATCTCGCAACCACTTTGTTGGGTGTTGTTGCCAATAATATGCTTGGAGTGAGAACAACTCACTCTAGATTCAAAATTCCTTTAAACCTTGATAATAACTCAATGTGCAACATAAAAAAACAAAGTGGGGCTGCTCAATTGATTCGAGATGCAAAATAATCATCTGGGATGCAAAGAGGCAAGCGGTGGAGACGCTCGATCAAACAATTCAAGACATCATAGGGGTGGCACTCCCATTCGGTGAAAAGATAATGGTTTCTGGGGGGTGATTTTAGACAAGTATTACCGGCCGTGAGGCATAGAACCCGAGCACAGATTGTAGATTCTTGCTTACG